TAATGATTTTGAAACACAGTTCTAAATCAAAATCAAAATATGTAATATCACAAATTAAATAAACAATAAGAATCTTACTATAAGACTATATATTTGAAAATTCAACAATAAGAAATAGAATGGTATCATAACGGTCAAAACTAGATCTTTATTGCTTAAATAATTCAATCTGAATTGTTATATATATACTATATATGTACATGCATATATATCATATTTGTAGTCATTTGAACTACGCATCGAATTAGTTTTTCGGACTTATAAACGCAATTAAGCTACTGTAGTAATATTACAAATTAAATTGACAAGCAATTTTAATAATTTAATAATTTGCTTGATTGATATTATCATCAAATTTAATAATTGAGCAAATTTAATGAAGCATCAAGATTGAACAAATAAGCCTTTACTTTTTCGTTTATTTATATTATAATATTCACGTATTGATTGATTTTCCACTTATTACTGTTTAAGAAAATTAAGTAAAATAATTTTGCATAAAACTTGTTTTATGAAATCTTATATGTTTAAAATTTCCGGATTGTTTCATAAAACATGAATAGAAATTTACTATCTACGCGTGACAGTATACTGATCTATTATACGTTAATCTCTCGTTTAACTATATTACTAAAAGTCTATCCTCTAAGTGTTTTTAATTTATTTAGGCTCAATGAGTGTCATTACAATGAAATCCAATTTAAATTTGCAGTCTCCTGCATCGCGGAGATAGAAAGTTTGCTTCCGCAAAATCGAGTGTCACCGACAGCAGCAGCAGAAACTTCCAATATCTCACTAAAAAATCGAGGCAGCAAAATTACTTGGCTATCCTCACGCGCAAGGAGCTTTTCCTTCGACCGTAGTAAATAATCAAACAAAAACTGTGACAGCTTATTCTCGAAACTAAATTTATTTCATAAAAATAATCTAAAAAAGATTTTTATTATTTCTATTTGCCTTATACTTACATAATAATTTATACAGGATTATGTAACTATAATAAAATGTAACTTACAATTAGACATGTAAAATTGAGAATAAAATTTTTACTTTAATATCATTTAAATTTTTATTATCATTTAAATTTTTTTAAATCTATACATTTTTAAAAACTATACATTTTTATATTCATAATTCAAATGTTTACATAATTTCAAGAATTGTACGCGTATATTTAATCGTATATTACTTTTTTTATTATTATAACATTATTGCTTCTAATTATACTGTCATTAACATGAGTATCAAACTCGCTTTTTTTCATTAGGAGTATATAGACAATTTGATATTGTTTTTATTATATAATATTTCTATGGTTTAATATTTTAAAAATAAGCGCTTATACTCTTATATATATA